CAGGCGAACCCAGCCAGCCCCCCCCATGCACCAGGCCTCTACCCTATATAGTAAAAGGGTAATATGCCTCCCAGCACTGGGATCAGCGGAGCCATGAGGCCTCCCGGCACCGGGATCAGCATGACAGGGGGCAGTGCCCAAACCCCTGATTGCCCTGCGACTCTGTGTGTGACAGGGTGCGGCGCCCCAACCGCCTGATCGCCCCTGCTGTGTGTATGACAGGGTGCGGCACCCCAAACTCCCCCCTCCCCGCCACGGGCCCTGCTCTGTGTGTGACAGGGTAGAGCCATAACCTCCCCATCGACCCTGCCTTGAGTGTGACAGAGGACAGTGCCCCAACCCCCCAATCGGCCCTACCCTGAGCGTGACTGAGGGTGGCATCACAACCTCCCGATCCGCCCTGCTCTGTGCATGACAGGGGGCGGCGCCCCAACTCCCCAGTCAGCCCTGCTCTGAGCCCGACCAGGGGCTGCACCTAGGGATTGGGCCTGCCCTCTGCCACCCAGGAGCAGGCCTAAGCCAGCAGGTCGTTATCTCCCGAGGGGTCCCAGACTGCGAGAGGGCACAGGCCGGGCTGAGGGAATCCCCTCCCCACCAAGTGCACAAATTTTTGTGCACCGGGGCCTCTAGTCCTATATAATAAAAGGCTAATATGCAAATCGACTAAACAGTGGAACGATCAGTCGCTATAATGTGCACTGACCACCAGGGGGCAGACGCTCAATGCAGGAGCTGCCTCCTAGTGGTCATTGGGCTCCCACAGGGGGAGCGCCTTTCAGCCAGAAGCCGTGGTGAGCGCAGCGGCGGTGGCAGGAGCCTCTCCTGCCTCTGCAGCAGCACTAAGGATGTCCTATTGACACGTTAGGCCTGCTCCTCAGGGGGAGCGGGCCTAAGCCATCAGTCAGACACCCCCCAAGGGCTCCCAGACTGCAAGAGGGTGCAGGCCAGGCTGTGGGACACCACCCCAAGTGCACAAATCTTGTGCACTGGGCCTCTAGTTTTACATAAATGACTGACACTAAGATGCTAAATATTTTCCCTCAAATATACATCAAACTTTCCTGCTCCAGTTTACAATGTAAATGTTATACTGAAATTATACTCTTCAAAATTAAAAGAGAAAGATACATCTCTGGCAACTTACCAAATATTTAAAAACTAGAGGTCTGGTGCACAGATTCGTGGACTGGTGGGTCCTTCATACCAGTGCACGATCGATCGAGGCTGGGAGGGACTGCGGGAGGGATCCAGGGTGTGTCTGGCCCATCTTGCCCAGTCCTGATCAACCAGACCCCAGAAGCAAGCTAACCGACCAGGCAGAGCATCTGCCCCCGGTGGTCAGTGTGCATGACAGCTACCAGTAAAATGGTCGTTAAGGCTTTTATATATATACTAGAGGCCCGGTGCACAAAAACTTGTGCACTCGGGGGAAAGGGGGTCCCTCAGCACGGCCTGTGCCCTCTCGTAGTCTGGGTCCCCTC